CTGCATGATCAACACAAAGACAATAGCTCCCACACACACGGGGCTACATGGATTAAAGAACCCGATCCATCAGTAAATCTGCCAGATGGCAGTGGAAGAAAGCTTGTAACTCCCTCACTTTCATTTCAACAGCAGCAAACAATGTTCAGTGTTTAAAATAAACTCTTCCAGATGAGCTAAAGATAAACTCTGAGGTGGGTGGACTTGAGCTTGCTAGGCTGCAGCTCTGAAGTGTTTGATTACATTAACACAAAACCCCTGGGTAGAACCCGCTTCTGTCAACAGAATGCTCAGACTCCCAACACCTACTACATGAAGCCATTTCCTGTGCTTTCATGGGTTGGTGGCAGAAACTTGCTTTGCTTTTTTCACAAACTAATAATGATTATGTATTTCTCTGTGCTCAGCATTTCCTCAAACCATGTGTACAACTTAAAGATATTCCTAAAATGTCAACACTATATGTAGGTCTGTACAGATAATGATCTTTTGAATATATTTACAACTTAAACTCGTATTTACTCATTCATCTCACTTCTCTTATAGTAGCAGAAAAGTTACCATTAGGATTTAAAACCATCCTGCTAATAACTGGATAACTATCTAGACTATGGGGTATACCCCCTTGAAGAAAAAAAAAAAGGTACAAGTATTTTTTTAAGTCAGAATTTATAAAGGAAGTCAGCATCTTCTTTTTTGTTGTTGTTTTTTGAAGAGACTTTAAAACTTGCAACTGAGGACAGACCAGGTTGTCATACGTCATATGTAACATGGCAACTTCTAAAGGTAAAATGACATACTGAAAAAAAAATCACTTAAATATTCAGGAACTTACCTATTTAACACCATTAGTAGGAGCTTTAAATGAAGAAGAGAAATAAACACGGGGTTGATGATGAAAATAAATCTTAGGCTGCAAAAACAGTTAGGACCAATTAAATCCAATAATCAATTAGGTATATTGGGGCACTAAAAATATGTATATCTCAAATTTAGATGAGGAGCCTTTGGGAAAATATGACTCACTATGCAGAGCACATTTATTGCCAATTCCTCCAAACTGAAACTTTTCTGATGTCAGTGATAGCTCTCTTTTATATGGTATTAGCCCTCTTATTTAGAATCGGTTGGTTACATGAACAAGTTGATTAAAGAAGGAAATCATAAAGATGAATCATATGCACCCGGGATTTATTATCTGAACTTGAAACATACGGCACATTCATTCATTTGCCTATCTTCTGATACAAGGCTAAGGGCTTTTCTCTGTTGTTTTTCTGAATATGAGTTCGCTTGAATTCCATCTTCTTGCATTATACTCACTTAAGCAGTATAGTCTATTATTTCCAGCTTTTGTGTCTTTAAAATGGAGTCAAAGTTTAAAGTCACTTGTAAAGCACTAAATAGACACCTTTTAGATTTTTGCAGTATCTATTTTTAGTATTTGACGGTTGTTATGAAACTTTATTCAATAGTGTTTCTAGTGATTTGCCTTCGTTTAGTTTTTAGAAAGCACTCAGCTTACTTTTCACAGAAATTCTTTTTCTTTGTACTTGTATTTCATTGGTTTGTATTATGATGAATAACTTGTATGATGGTTAATAACAAGCACAGCTAACACACACACAGGTTTGGTTGGGTTTTCCTTGTTGCCTCCTGCGTCCCCAAAGCCTAGAATAATGCCTGGCACATAATAGGCATTCAATGAATATTTATTAAGTGAATAACTGAAAGCTGCGCAGCTCTCTTCCTAAATATATGATGCAACAGGTGAGACTGACGGTGCCTAGGGTGTGCTGGAGGGTAGCCTACCAGCTTAGAGCATTTGCATGCGATGGGGTGTCAGTACGTTTTCCAAAAAAAAATGGAATTATTGTAGTAAGTCCGTTAGGCAATGGTTTGTTAAAGGTGATTCTCTGTACTTTGGTTAAACATCTAATTTCGTAAAAACTCTTCCTTACTGTCTGCGTAAAAAGGAGCATTCCACCTAACTTTCCTTTAGGCATAAACTACCTTCCTCCATGTTAACCTGTAACTAATTTAACTCCCTATTGTCCAGATAAGCTTTGTGAAAGAAACATCTGAAGCTGTCTGTGGGGGCCAAGCTCCTGAAGGGTGATTAGTAACATGTTCTCTCTTCAGCCTTCCTTAGGACATTTGGAATCAATTAAATATTCAAATAGAGATTCTCTCAGATCTTGGGCCAGGCCCAGAAGGTTTGTGAGGGGAGAGAGATGAAGGCGGATAACTATGATTTCCTCACACCAGAATCGATAGCTGAAAAGAGAGATTTAAAAAATACATTCTCTAGGACTTCCTGGGTCTGCAAACAAATAGTCATACAAGATTAGAAATGGTGTGGAGAAACAACAGGAGCCAAATTAAGAAACTGGAATTACAGTACACACAAGAACTGCTACCATGCACAGTGTCTGAAAGACAAAAAAAAGTCCATTAGACTGTTGCATCAGTATAATGGTATGGCCTGCATGAGCTAAGAATGGTTTTTACATTTTTAAAGGTTGTAAAAGAAAAAAAAAAAGAACATGTAACAGATTGTATATGGCCTAGTAACTTTAAATATTTACAGTCTGGACTTTCATAAAAAGTTTGCTGACCCTTTATTTAGTTTTGTTTCCATCATATGTACTCTTGTAAACATTACTGTTACTAATTGCTGTTACTATTAATAGTAATGATCAGGTGCACTGGGGAAGGGGAAACGGATGAGTGCCCATCATGTGCCAGGCACTTTGCTAAATGCTTTATATACTCTGCTAATTTATTCACTGAGCAATCCTTTAAAGGATTATCTCAGTGACAAAGCCAAGAAAACAGAAGCTGAGGGGTGGCTGGGGGGTGGGGGTGGTGAAGTATCTTGCCCATGTGGCAGGGAGAACTGAGTGGTGGAGCTGTTAATCAAACCCAAAGTGGTGGTGTGTTTACGCCCTGAGATCCCCGTCCCAGATAAATGCTACTGGGAGCCTCCTAAAAAAATACTCTACTGGGTAGAGTTGAGATAGAAGAGTTATAATCTCACTTCTTTTCAGAACAAGTTGCTTGAAATAGAAGTCAACATTTCCAAAGATGAAGCCAGAAACCAACAGGAAAATGGGTTTCCAGCTCGATGAGTCCATTATCTGGCACATTTTATCCTTCTACGAATATTTTGCTAAGGGTGAGAATAAGTATCAATGTAACAAAAGTCAGCAGAACAGAAAGTTTTAATAATCTTCAAAATCCAACTAGTCATACTATAGCTATTAGTCCTCGATTCCATCTAACACAGGTGGGAAGGACATCTTCCAAATGGCAGCTCATTTTACCTAAATACTTGGTGTTTCCAGATGAGCTTCTAGTTTTCCATCATAAATTAATATATCCTATTTTATTATGGTGCCACAAACAAGAACTCTGAAAGGCTCAACTCTTACAAAAGGCCCAACTCCCCTGAAAAGCATCAGGTATCAAAATGTAGCCAGAAAAGATGGTATCAACTGAATAAAAAAGAAAAAAAAAAGCACTTTTTTTTTTTTTAAAGCGCTCTTTTTAATGAAGTCGAGGTGTAGGACAGATTTATTAGCTTCCATTTTTCCAAGTTGCATTCTGGTGTATTTCCTGCCCATATTTCTAAGTTCAGCAAGTCTCTCTGTAGGATTATTTTTTAAAAATACATTTCAAAGAACATGATGCAGATATACCCACTACACCTGCAAAGTCACACCTGTGATAGTACAAACACTAAGTGTTTCTCATATTCACAACCCAGTTCTCTAACGGAAAACAGATCTTCTGTATGATCTGCCAAGATCCTGCCATTCTCAAAAAGAACTGATAACCAGGTAATATAAAAAGTCTTAAAAGCAATAACCAATCGAGGATTACTCCTGACCAAAATGGCCATTAAATTCAGTGCAGTACTGTCTATGCTTTACTGTCATAATTCCTTTTCCCAATAACAGGTGGTTAAGACAAAGAATTACTAATTATTTTTGATGCTTTAACAGATACCTAAAATATACCTATTCAGACTATTATTTTTATGTGCACACCACTGATTATTCATTCAAACATCATTATTCAATGTTTACTGTGTGTCAGGTACGATTCTTGATACTTGGGGAAGGAAAACTAATAAGAATATAATAAAAGAATAAAATCTTTCCTTGGAGAATTTTTATTCTAATTACCCAACTGGATTTTTAATAATTAGTAAAGCTGCTAAGCTCAATTAAAACAAAGTAGAAAAAGGACTGGTTCTGCCTACAGGGATTCAAAGAATATAAGGAAAGGCCGAGAGACAAGTATGGTCTATACTGAAGACAGGGTTATACAGTGCAACGAATAGAGATGTGCTAAGACAGTAGTCACTAGGCACATGTGCCTATTTAAATTTAAATTAACATTAAATAAGATTAGAAATTCAGTTGTCATATTTCAAGTACTCAATAACCACAAGTCTGAAGTGTACCATATAGGACAGTGTGGACACAATTATTTCTCTCATTGCAGAAAGTTCTACTGGACAGCACTAAGAGGACAAGGTAAGCCTGTTGCCAGCTCATGGACAGTCTCATATATATATTAAGGAGTTTATAAACTTTAAATGAAAATGGTTTGTAAATTACCATATTCTGCAAAGTCCTTTCAGGAACTGGCAAAAGGAACATATTTATAGGGAGACTCTACCCCTGCAATATTGTTATGACCAGTTTCATCCATCCAGATTCTGTATTTGAGACTTCTTTTGAAGAATGAATTCTGCAGCTTAACAAAAAAAGGCTGGAAACCCACTGTTATGGGCAATTGGAAGCCACCACATATTTTTAAGCAGGCACATGACACCATGACACAGATTTGGGTTTTAGAAATATTACTTCTTAATGCAGCATGCAAGATATGTGGGAAGAAAGGACAATGGGCATACCAAGATCAGTGGAGGTTAATAAGATGATAAAGGACTCATTTCAGTGAAACTTGTAAAAAAAATACACAATTAAGAATTTGCATCATTAAATTTATTCCAAGAACTGTGCATACAACAGGCATGTTATTCTCACACAAAAACTGGCACTGCAATAAAAATAATTAATATTTTGGCCATGAAACTCAAAAGATATTTGAAAAACTTCTCAAGGTGTTTAAGTCACTGGATTCTTTAATATTTGTAATCCATGCTTGCTCAATTATAATTTCTAAAGTATATAATTATACTGCTCATTTTACTATTCATTATGCTTATTATATATTTAAGACATCTGTTCTGAAATTTTATGTTCTCCAAAAAATAACTTTTGAGTAACTTCGAAATATCCGTATGTACCTCTCAGCAGTATTAGTGTAAAACCAAAACTGTTTTCGAGTAGCAAGTACTCAAGCCACACCATTTCTGATTACAGATAGAACTGGCAGCCAGTATTATAAATAGCTCTTTCACTCCTTGTTCCTATTTTAATATGCCAACCATTACTTCACTGATATCCCAGAGTTTTCTTGCAACAGACTCATCCATAGCTTTGGGCAAAAGTTCTACCTCTTTACAATCTCCAAAGTACTTTCCTGACACACCTTCTACCTCAGGTGAAGAGGCTAAATAAACTGAAGTCTGGGCCCCTTCTACTGGGGTTTTGAAAAAAGCCCATGACACCAAATTGAAAAGTGGTTTGACCAACAGTGGAATGTGTATGTGCCTGCCAAGATTAGTCCGCACAATACCAGGGTGTAATACATTGACAGTCACGTTTGTACCTTCTAAGCGGCGGGCTAGTTCTCTGGTAAAAAGAATGTTAGCCAGTTTGCTCCGACTATAACAAAAGCTTTTATTATAGCTCTGTTCACTGTTCAAGTCTTCAAAGTTGATGTCTCCATATTTATAAAGTTTGGAAGAAACTACCACAATCCTGCTGGGAGCTGAACTTTTGAGGAGTCCAAGGAGAAGATTGGTGAGTAGGAAGTGCCCCAGATGGTTCACTCCAAACTGCATCTCAAACCCATCTTCGGTCTTCATATAAGGGCATTGGAAGATCCCTGCGTTGTTGATTAAGACATCCAGTCTAGGTTCTTCCTTTAAATGTTAAAAAGAGAATGGGGCAATTATGAATACAGGCCTACAATGAAATTTTTAAAAGTTCTTACAAATTACTAAAATTCCATAAAGTGCCTCTGTGGGTTTTCAACAATTGGGGGGCAGGGAGTGGAAAGACTTGCATGTTTAATGGAGGACTGGCCTCGTGCTTTTCACATGCTCTCTCATCTACCCTCACCAATGCTGTGAGCAAACTAAGCACCCAAGTGAGGTGATTTGTGCAGTATCACAGGGCTCTTGGGTGGCAAACAAAAACTGGAAGATGAAATCTTCTGACACCAATGCCCCTGTTTTTAGTTAGTAAGCTAGCTTGCTTTTCTAACTGGGAGTTTCACATCATAGCTAAAGAGTCGATGTGAGCTAGGAAGTGGAAATATGGCAGAAGGCAGGTCAGCATGATTTATTCCCAGAGCTGCTATTATCAACACCAGGGGCAAACTAGTACTGCTTCATTCTGTACTTTTCTAAGGGTAAATGGTACCATGGGGATGGAGCACGCAATAGAAAGGGTCAGGGATGCTAATTAAAACTGGAGAGAACATCATGACTAAATCAAAGAAACGTTAAGAAAAAAATTGATTAGGTAATATAAAAATATCAGAAACAAAGCAATGAATCATAAATACTAAGTCTCACAGTAACAGCAAAGGACATTTAGAGAGGAGTTAGGACCAACAAACACCTTTAACCTCTATTATAAATTTAGAATTCCATTCTTTTTTTCCCTATATAAAATCTACCTCTTTCAAACTCTGAAGGACCCCCAGCTTAGGGGATCTATTATAGTCAGAATTTTATACTTTGTACCCTCCTGCATTTCTCCAGAGTTAAATGCTAAAATTTAGACTGTCCTCAAAGGGAAGTCTTTTCGTTCCTTAATTCATGTAAGTTGGTTTTCCCTAGCTCTTTCCGGGCTCCTCTCTGTCTCTTTTGATGGGCAGAGAAAAAGAAATGTACAACATGTTCCAGGTGTAAAGACACAGTGATGACCTACGATTAAATTAATTTGAGGTCAAATTTCAAATTTCACTGGCCCTTTTGCCAAGTGTAAGTAAAAAGAAAAATGTGTTAAATTTCACAACTGTTATCACAGCCTACCTGCCAGAGGATTAACTATTTATCATTCTGTCTGTCTAAGCACCTTTGGCTTTTCCAACAGTCAACTTCAAAAAGAAGGCAAAAGTTCACCCGTGGGGGAAAGAAAGGAGTGTTCTTTTTTCACTAATCCTTTGGAAGAGTTTCCTGTATTAATCATTTCCGAGCCATCATTCTTTGCTGGGCTTGTGTTATTTTAAGACTTTATCATTCACTATTTTTTAAATTCTAGGAGATAAATGACATAAATACCATGAATACCAACCTGTGGGAAATTTATACTTCCATTAAAAAAAAAAAATCTGCTTATAGTCACTGGACTTCAGAGCCAGAAAGAAACTTAGTAAAGTTTATCTCCTTAACTTTTAATTGGTTCTGTCTCAAGTGGCCAAAGTAATAAAATGCCTTACGTGTCTGAGATGAGAAGTATACCCAGACTCATCTACTACATTTTTAATGAACAACAGGAAGACCCACTTTTAATGCTTCAAAATCTTTTATACACTAGTATTATTTCTTATTTCTTAACCTGTTTTACCTGATAATGAAATACTAGCCATTAAGACAAACAGACAAACAAACAGAAAACCTCTCTGTATCTGCAAGTTTCCAAACTGTGCATTAAGGTGCCCCAGAGCCTCACAGAGTTCACACCTTCAACATTAAATTGTGCTAAATTCCTTTCAATGGTGTCCTATCTTTGTAAAGCTGAGTTTTTAGTAAAATGCAAGTACTATGTTAAATATCAACTTAGAACAAGACACGGGGGTGGACATTTTCAATCTGATTCCAAAGACCACCATTCCAAAGGTGATGCACTAAAGAACAGGTGCACGTTTCCCATTAGTAATTATGGCTATTGAAGAATGGAGTATCTTTTTTCTTTCAATTATGTGTATTATTTTCTCAAACAGCTACTAAGTTGTTAGGACATAAATACTTATTAGGTTGTTTGGACCTAATTGCTTAATAAACCGGTAGATATTTCCTTTGGCCTACTGGCATCATGAAAAAATTAGAAAGTTTGGGAACCTAAGCTGTAGACTCAAGAGACTCCATTTCATATGGGCACCTTTCTCACACCAGCTAATTTTAAATTTCGCTCTTCTATATGCCCTTTTCCAAGTCACTTCTGCAGGAAACTCTTCTACCTCAATTTCAACAGAGGACATCCACCTCAGTGGAATATTTATCATCTAAACAAAGATTCCTACACCTCATAGGCAGGCAGCAGGGGTATAGAAAGAAAGGGCTTTGGACAAATCCTGGGCAAATTATTTGGCTTACCTATGCCTTTGTTGCCTAACTTTGTAAAATGGGGATAATAATGCCCAGGGGTGCCTGGGTGGCTCAGTCATTGACTGCCTTGGCTCAGGTCATGATCCCAGGGTCCTGGGATGAACCCTGCATCAGGCTCTCTGCTCAGTGGGAGGCCTGCTTCTCCCTTTCCCACTCCCCTGCTTGTGTTCCCTCTCTCGCTGTCTCTCTCTCTGTCAAATAAATAAATACAATCTTAAAAAAAAAAAAACCTATCAGGGTTACTGAGGATTCAATGACAATAATAGCCAAAGTCCCTTTAATTTCATTAAAAAAATTTTTTTAAGTATCTGAAATTCTTGGAACAGCTCCTGGCACATAGGAAACCTTCAGTAAATACTAAGTATTATATTTATTTCTGTCCCCGTTTAGAGTACATGGCTACTGGGATTCCTAGCTCCAATCTATTTAGAAATCAGGCCAGAGACTGTTTTAAGGAGCTGGTGCTAATGAATCCACTGGTGTCAGAGAGCTAAACTTCCTACCCCAACAGAGGGGGTAAAAAAATGCTTCAAGGTCTCTGGCTGTCAGGCTCTGAAAGATGACCTGGTGCACGGACTTCAGACACAGAAACAATCCGAAGATCTGGCGGATCTCCCCCTGGGCCACCCTCACATAACAAAAGGAAATATTCAGAAACTGGCTAATTTTCCTCTCGTGGCCATTGTTTTCTAAGCATCTTTGGAAAACAGAGGCCTTTCCTACCAATTTCGCCAGCCTGCACTCCCAAGTCCTCATACCATTCGACGGTTTTGACTCTTAGACTCGGTCTTTCCCAAGGTCACACCCCCCGGACTCTGGGCGGTACCACCCCCTGGCCCCCCGGCCCCCCCTCCCCCGCTCAGCCCCCGGCCCCTCCTCGCCAGCCGCCGAGGCCCGCGCCCGTCCCGGATCTCCAGCTGGTTCCCGGAGCCCCACACCTGGAGCATCTCCTGACAGAAGGCGCGCACCGAGCGCAGCGAGGCGAGGTCCAACTCCTTGACGACGAGCTCGCCGGCCTCGCCGGCGTCAGAGCCCGGCTCGGGGCCCCCGGCCTGGCAGAGCTCGCGGCGGAGCTGACCCGCCGCCTCCTCGGCGCGGTCGCGGTCGCGGCAGCCCATGATCACCCTCGCCCCCAGGCGCAGCAGCTCGGCTGCCGTGGCGCGGCCCAGGCCGCTGTTAGCCCCAGTGATCAGCACGGTCTTCCCGTGCATGAGGCCCGAGTTGCCCCCTCCGTGCAGCCGCTGGACACTGGGCCCCACGAACCGCCGGGCCGCCAGCCACAGGGCCCCACCCAGTGCGGCCAGGAGCGCCGCTACTGTAGCTATGGCCATGGCCGCCGGGGCCGAGGGCCCACCGGCCCCCGCGCGGGACTTCCGGAGTCGCCGCACGCCCGGTGCCTAGGCTGCCACCTGCACGGGAAGAACTCTGGGGCGGGGCCTGTTGCCGCTTGACGGGGCGGCGTGGGGCATGCTGGGACTTGTAGTTTTCCTTCCGAGGGCACCGGATTGGTTAGGGCAGTACAGCGCCCTGAGTCGCGGTGACTCGGTGGAGCCGGCCCATGGAGGGTGAGCACAGGCCCCAGAGTGGTGGTGGTCGACCCGGTGGGGATGCCTTATGAATATTTTGAATTTACAAATCCCACATATCAGGGCTTGCTTAGTGTGTTTTCCGTTAAGGATCCCTGGGACTTGTTACCCTCAGTGCAGTTTCCTTTCACCCTCAGGAGAATGAGTGGTTCCTACCCTCTGGAGTCTGAGGAAGAGCTCTTTTTTATTATGATGAGGCGAAGAACTTAGCAACGTGAACCAGTCCGAAACAGAATGGACCAGTGGTTCTCAGATGTTAGCTTAGTATCAGAATCCCCTGCAGAGCTCGTAAAAACAGCACAACCCTCTCCCCCGACCCCATCCCCAAAATTGAAGGGTCCCAGTACCAGAGTTTAGAGTTCAATACGTTCCAGATGGGACCTGAGACTTTGCATTTCTAAAAAGTTCCCAGGTGATTCCGACGCTGCTGGTTTGTGGACTACAGCCTGAGAACTGAAAACCATTATGGCCTTGATCTCTATAGCAAAAGTCATCCTCCAGTGGTCTTACTGATACTGGTAGAGATATAGTGGGAAAGCCTGGACTTAGTCTAGACACAGACTTCTGAGTAGGCCTATTCACAAGTGCTTCCACACCTCCTCCAGGAGACGATTAAATTAATCATGGAAGGGAAAGTGCTTTGTGTACTATAAAGTGATTGAAAAATGTCAGGGCTTATTGCCACAGGGACCCATCTTCAAGCAGCAAACTTCATAGTTTTTAGACCAAGCTCTTCTCAAGTCCTCATTCATTCATCTACTCACCCATCAGATATGTGCGAGGCCCCATGCCCTGTGAGAGTCACAGAGAAATAGGACACCATTTCTGCCTTCAAGGTGCTTATTGTCTGGTACAGAGACAGAGACCTCCCCGGCCACAGTCCCCATTCTAGAATCTCCAGGACAAGAGAAGAGACACACAACCTGTATAGTTTGAAATAAACTCCCTAGATTATATTGATAAACTCTCCTCCACTCCTGTACGTTTGGGAAGGATGTA